CCCAATGAAACTCACCCTAAACATAGAAAATCCTAGTCCCGGCGACGCTGTATATACTAGGGATGTTGTGAGGGGGTTTCTGGGAAGGTAAGAAAACGCTACCTGCGGGCCCCTCTGTACTTTCCAGGGCACTGGACCACGAGGGAATGATATATCCCCCCCTCCCTGGCTAAGTAACAAGCAGGGGGGACTAAAAAATAAATGATAATTACATATTTAAAAAAAAAAAAAATGCCCACTCTATTACATACCTACACAAACACACACACTCCATTATATACACATACACTACACAAACACACTGCGTTATATAAACATACTACACAAACACTGTGTATATATTGCAGTGTTTGTGTAGTGTGTATATATAATGCACACTACACTACACAAACACACTGTATATAATGCAATGTGTGTATATATAATGCACACTACACAAACACTGTGTATATAATGCAATGTGTGTGTATATATATAATGCGCACTACACAAACACACTGTATATAATGCAATGTGTTTATATAAACACACTGCATTATATACACACTACAAAAAACACTGCACATAATGCAGTGTGTGTGTAGTGTGTTTATATAATGCACACTACACAAACACTATGCAAATAAACACACTGCATTCACTATATACACACACACTACACAAATGCACACACTTTGCATTTAGTATATACAGCATTCACGTTACGCACACTACCCACACACTGCATTTACTATACACACACACACACACACACACACTGCATTCACTTTACGCACACTACCCACACACTGCATTCACTATACACACACTGCATTCACTTTACACACACTACCCACACACTGCATTCACTTTACACACACTACCCACACACTGCATTCACTTTACACACACTACCCACACACTGCATTCACTTTACACACACTACCCACACACTGCATTCACTTTACACACACTGCATTCACTTTACACACACTACCCACACACTGCATTCACTTTACACACACTACCCACACACTGCATTTACTATACGCACACACTGCATTCACTTTACGCACACTACCCACACACTGCATTTACTATACACACTACACAAACACTCTGCATTCATTATATACACACACACTACACAAATACACACAGCTCCCCTGTCTAAACACACTACATCCACTACACATGTCATGTATATTTTGTGCATTTACCTTTAGAAATAGTTTGTTTGTTTTTCAAAATGGTAAATGTACAGAATATCGGTAAGTTATGGGCTACTGGCCTGAAAGTTCACAGAATATCGGTATTGGCTCTAAAAAAAAAATCAATATCAGTCGATTCCTACCAAGACCCCCAAACCAAATGAGGGTATCCAGGGAACTATACGCGCAATAGTATATACGGTGGAAAAGGCAGGTATATGGTAAATTTCACCAGTGGGTATTGTGCCACCTATAGCAAAGTTTCAGCCGCCTTGCTACTGTAAAAGACTCAATCCCTGGGAGATAAATATTGGTTATGTGGACATGAAGATTAGGACAAGATTGGAAGGCCAATGGTGGGGAGAATGCGTCTTAGCCAAGGTTATTATGCCTCTACACATTATATCCGACAGTTCCCAGGACACTTGGTAAAATCGCCCTTACTCATTAGGACAAGGAGGAATGCCCCTATAAAAGGCAGTTTCGACCCCCATGTATATATAGATGCCATTGGCGTGCCAGATGAATTCAAAGCAAGGGACGAAGTTGCAGCAGGTTTTGAATCCCTTTTTCCGATCATCACTGCCAATAAGAACGTGAATTGGATTAATTAATTACATTTATTATAACCAACAATGGTTTGTAAACTATACAAGAGATGCTCTCCAAGGGATAGCTGAACAACTACAAGCCACACCCAAGATGACCTTCCAGAATAGGATGGCCCTAGACATCCCTAGAAAAAGTATGTGTGTTTAAAATGCTCCTGGACACTAGCACATGTTGTACCTTCATTCCAGATAACACAGGCCAAAATGGGAAAGTGACCTGGACTATAGAAAAATTAGAGGACATGTCAGAAGAGTTGAAAAGGAACTCCGGGATCACTGACCTATGGGATAGATAGTTCGGGTGGATGAGTGGCTGGCAGAAAACTATGGCCCAAATAGTCGTCCTGGTAATTTTAATTATCCTTGACACTATTGTATATTGTGTTCTCCCCTGTATAAAAAAAAAAAAAGTGTTTCCAGAAATCAGTAGCTCAGGCCACACCAGCTTTCGTTCATCAAGAAATAGATGAGGAAGATTTTGAGAAACCCTACACTCAGTTGCAGTCCCTCCCCGCCAGTTACAGGACTACAGTATTTTAGGGACAAGCATCTGACTTCCCTATGTGTACAGTCTGTAACAAGGGGGGTGATGGACAAGTCATCACTCGTCTAACGTGCAGCAAGAAAAGAGTTCCTAGGCACATTGGGTCAGATGAGCTAGGCACCCATTAGGGACAGATGTTATAGATAGATGTAAATAGCCATTTTAAGGGGGGACTGTAATGGATAGAAATAAATGTAGGTAAAATGTCTATTTGCTATATGCCCCTGTGCTCATTCCTTACTCAAAATGGCCACTAGAGCACCCCCTCCCATTGACCAAAACACTTGTGTAACAAGATGGCGTCTCCATCCAGAGCTACACCCAAGATGATGACGACGACGACAACATCAACACCCTAGAGCAGTGTTTCCCAACCCAGTCCTCAAGGCACACCTACCAGTCCAGGATTTAGGGATTACCCAGTTGTGTCTAAGGTGTTTTTTTTCTTCTTTGTAAAAACACCTTAGACACAACTGGGTAATCCCTAAATCCTGGACTGGTAGGTGTGCCTTGAGGACTGGGTTGGGAAATACATCAAGATTAAACACAACCAATTAAAAGTTTACATTTCATATTTGCACACAATGCATTCTTTTGCCCTTTTTAAGCGACTACATCTGCCACCTGAATAAACAATTGGAAGTTTTAATTCATCTGAACTTTGGGGTCAGTGTGATTTCTTCAGCGTGCACGCATCTCATTTTCAAAATCTGGACAGGGGCAGATACTCAGGCAGACACTTGGTCTGGTCCAAAACAGGGGCACTGTATAAAAAGCCGAGTGTGGCCTAATAAAGTCAGACTGCTTCTTTTCCCCAGTACGACTGGTTGTGTCCATTATATTGGGGGAAACTCTACACAACAGGAATACTTTCAATATATTCAGCACATCTGGAAATAAGACTAGTGGTGGATGGAAAGAATAACCACAATAGACTAGCGAACCCGTGACAGCCGCACTCCTTCAGTCAAATGCTGCTATGAGTAGCATTTGATTGAAATAACACATTTGACTTATGGAAGCATGGGTACTTCTAGTGGCATGGACGGTATAAAATGACACCACCACTGCAAATGGAGCGTCTGTAGTCAGAGACAGGCAACCAATTGCAGCATAGATTTTTTTTTTTATTTTTTTTTAACCTCGCAGCCTCCCCTGAACCCATAATACCAAACATCCTCCAGAGGGAAAGTGATGTCAATTACAGTTCTTATTTAACCCATAAGAGAAGCCTGGTGTATGAGGCATGCAAAATTGGGCATAACAAACTAAAACAGATTATTTACACTTCTATGCCAGCAGCAAGATAAACCATTTTAACAGTATGCTTAGTTAGCACTACAAATAGATAAAAACGTATTTACCAAAGTTAATCTATTCCACATTTACAAGACGGGTGCAATAAATGGTAAATGTTCAAATAAATTAGTCATTATTTGTTTTTTTTAAAGAAACTACTTTTACAAATAATAAATAAAAAAAAATAAAAAAATAAAAAATATATATATATATATATATATATATATATATATATATATATATATATACACACACACACACACACACACACACACACGGAAAAAAAGTCACTTTAATAGAACACTGACATAGTTATTAACTAAGGCGAGAACTGTTCAGAATCCAATGTGAAGTTCAAATTTCAAGCTAACGTAGCTAAAAAGGATGCATATAACTGGTTTACATAACGTTTCCAGTTTAGCTATTTTGGGATTAAATTTAAAATACACAATTCTCATTTTAGTGAATAACCGTGACAATCTTCTTCCTGCCTCATTTGTAAAGATCCCAACACTCACAGGGTCATCCTCGGACTCCATTTCACTTCCACCCCGACCAGCTTTCCCCAAAAGAACTTGTCGTTGAACTGCATGAACAAAGCCCTGATATCAGGACTTGGATCCAATAACTCCCAGGTCGGATCAACAACAGACATCTCCTTGGATCTGGCATTCTCAACAACGGTAAGTTTTCCCCGATTACTGCAGAAATCTTTCGCACCATCGTCGCTTTTAAAGGGTTGTTCAATTCCACGGTCATAGTCCGATTGTAACTGGACCGCGAGTAAAAAATCGTCCTCCATTTTGATCTACACAGCAATGGTTCCTCCCCCCACTATAACTTAACGGTAGCGGCTAGTTCCTATCCAGTAGAAGGACCCTGGTGACATCACCAGACCATGTGACTGCTTGGTCACGTGGTACAGAGAGCTACAGGAGGCAGCAAGGCGGGAAATCCAAATGAATGAAATGGACTGAGCTGTGTTGATCTCCTGCTGCTGCTGGTGGGAGAGATCTGATGGAAACATTACAAATCATCTTATTATACAGGACAGCCTGGGAGCTGGAGGCACTGTATGGGAATCCTTGTAAAGCTGGACACTGCACCCATTACACAGACTGAACATGGAGAATGAAGGGGAAAGGGATCTTTCAGAAAAGTCACTGTTATTTTATATTTATATAGTTTTATATTTATTTTTTTTGCCAGTTAATTATGCAGTTATGTTAAACCCTTTATTTTAAATCTTTTTTTGTCTTTAATTGTAGATATTAATCACTGTCCAACTGTTTTACAGAATACATTGATTATAATGGGACTCATATTTTTGTCTTTCTCTCTCCCAACTCTCTCTGACAGCATGTTATATTAACCCTTTTATCCCCACTGACAGTGAGTGTCTCTCTCCCATCCCCTCATTGTGAGTGTGTGTCTCTCTCCCATCCCCCTCATTGTGAGTGTGTGTCTCTCTCCCATCCCCCTCATTGTGAGTGTGTGTCTCTCTCCCATCCCCTCATTGTGAGTGTCTCTCTCTCTCCCATCCCCTCATTGTGAGTGTCTCTCTCTCTCTCCCATCCCCTCATTGTGAGTCTCTCTCTCTCTCCCATCCCCTCATTGTGAGTGTCTCTCTCTCTCTCTCCCATCCCCTCATTGTGAGTGTCTCTCTCTCTCTCTCTCTCCCATCCCCTCATTGTGAGTGTCTCTCTCTCTCTCTCCCATCCCCTCATTGTGAGTGTCTCTCTCAATCTCCCATCCCCTCATTGTGAGTGTCTCTCTCAATCTCCCATCCCCTCATTGTGAGTTGTCTCTCTCAATCTCCCATCCCCTTATTGTGAGTCTCTCTCTCTCCCATCCCCTCATTGTCAGTG